CGTAGGAATTCTTATAGCCGGCTAAAGAAGGCTACAGAAAATCATGTGGCTGTAGAAAATCAGGCTGGAGAAAAATCAGGTGGCTGTAGAACGCGGAGAAAATCATACGGCCGGGCTATACGAAGCGATAACAAATTATGCAGCCGGGCTACAGTTCCTATAGCCGGGCTTTACACTTTATCGCCTGGCTGTTGCTTTTTCGTCATCGATTATAAAAGGCTATTAGAAATTGTGTAGAAATTCGTGTGCTTTGGAAATCATTAAGTTTGATACGGAACTACCTTAATATTTACAAAACACTTATTATATTTTCCTTTAAAACATATTTTTTTTTCATCAATTAAAATGAGAATTATTCATGCAGAGTGTGCAAACATTTCAAAATCATGAGTTGAAAAACGCTGGCTCCGCCAGATTAAATATTAGAACCTAACACAAAGCGGAGCGGCGACGCACTGGTGCCTACAAACCCAACAGGGATACTTCACGCATTGCGCAACGCGTGAAGTATCCCTGTTAGGTTTGTAGGCGCCAATGCGCGTTTCGCGCTAGCTGCCCGCCTGCCGCACCGCAGCGTGCCACGGCGCTTGAAGCAACTATTTCACACCAGAGGTATTGCACAGTATCATACGAAACTGAAGGCGCTCTAATATATTAGGAATGGCAGGCATCCATCAAAAGCACGGAGCTTTCCTCGCAAAAGAAATCAAGATACTACGGCCGAAAAAGAGAGCAGTGGTCTAAAATTCACTAAGTCCTAGCATCCGTAATTAGTGACGTTTTGCCTACACTTTATCGCCTGACTGTGAGTTTCTTAATTCGGCTATAAAAGGCTATAAGAAATCGTGTAGCTGGCTATAGAAGCTATTGGAAATCTTACAGCCGGCCGCAGGTCTATGGTATTTTGTAACACAGATTCAACTGCCAATTTTTACCAGGAAAACTCTTCCGATCCATTGTAAGTACGTTTATTCCGGTTATTTTGGCAGCACGGCAAGTACAAGCGTTGGTTTTAGTTTGTCAATCGGCCAATATCGTGATGGTCGGACAGATGTGTACCCTCTGGAAGGGGGAGGGGGGGTCTATCGTAATTAGCTCATTGTTAAACGATGAACGAAGTTAGCGGCTCTCCGGGGTCACCGCAAAGACCGATCATAATAGATATCCAGTCTTTGACCATCGAAACCGTTAATTCTTAGCCATAAGCCATAAGCTCCTCGGTAGGTGGGGGAGGGGGGGGGCTGGGAATCGCGTTATCACCGTCCTGTGTCAAAGAAAAGACATTTTAATAACGTAGATCTCGCCCTGCTTGCAAGTGCTTTTGGTGTATCTCCAGAACGGGGACAAGTTGTGCGAGAGAGCATTTACACTCTTGTTAGAAAGTGCCCTGGAGCTTCACGTTGAATCCTTAAAATCATTCCCCTGTCGATTTTGACGACGGAATACATAAGATGTGACGATAAAGCAGGATGGCTGATGAGCCAATCAGAGGTCTATGAAGGTATACTCCACCGCCGTACTCGGTCTCTACTGAAGGTCCTACTACCTGTCTTTTGTGCGTGCTGCGTCTACGATTATAGTTACCGGTTGGAATAGGCGTATAGATACTTTGCAGCAAGAGCAGCCAATTGTAAGCATTGACCACGAAATGAATGCACTCCAACTCTGCCGTGCTAAGGATAAACGTCGCATGAACATCCGAGAGTTGCCTAATTTCCCTCGATAGAATGTTTATTTTTGAGGAAAGCTATGAACATTTTTCCTTGAAATTTTCGGGAGCTTTAGGTGAAATTGCGAACACAATTATCTGAAAAATTAGAGGAAAAATATTTACAAACGTTGCCGAAAATTCTTGATTATCCCAGGAAATTTGGCAACGCCTGACTGTTCTTATGGCGTTTTTCCTTAGGACGGCAGAACTGATAACGGGCCAAGCTGATAATGTCCATTCGGGGGTCAAGGTCGAAGCGCGGGCGCGGCCCAGCTTTCCCGCTTTGCACCTCTCCCGTGCCCGTGCGCGGTGTCGATGTCTCAGCGCCTCGTCCTCGCAGCAGTCGTAGCCGTTATTGCACCCTCTCCTCCGGTCTAGCGCCACGCACCGCCATGTTGCCATGTCTCCTCATAAATTGAACATTTTCACGAGAGGGGCATTGTCACTAGAGTCCCTTTATACCCAGAGTTAAGACAACTCGATTATCAGCTGACTGGCAGCCGGCCTTGGCTGGCCATGGAGGCCGAAACGAGTGCACCCGAACGAACGATATTGAGGGATAAGGATCAGGAATCCTGCGATGTCTGTCACACTAAAACAACAACATCAACAAATTGATCAATTAAAAAGAAAATGAGATTGGTTCGTGAATAATTTCTTAATCTATTTTCATTTTGGACCGATGGAAATAACAATTTACTCTTGATAAACCACAATTAGGTAATATTTTCATTATTCTTGTCCACATTCGAGGTACCGCCATCTTGGTGCACTCGTTTCGGCCTCCATGAGCGAGAACCAAACAGAATTGGATTTTCTTTTAGGCCACTTTCAGCCCAACCAAAAGTGAGTTGTCTTAACTCTGGGTATAAAGGGACTCTAATTGTCACGGCCACATGTATGAAGCGTATTTTCGTTGATGATTGGTTGAGGCAAAAAGCCGCGATAATGGCGGCGAGGTCATAGTCGGGTCGATAAACATTTGAGGCTCGACTTTCGAAATGGATGCTGTTCGGATGCCATCATCTTCATCAGGTCATTTCCAAACCCTACGTAGGATTATATTTTGGCCCCAACGTTTGCAAGAATTTCCTCCTCTGTCTGGTGAGTCCGCGGCGTTGGTCCGAAAAATTATGATCGCGTCAAAATAAAATACAACATCCTCTGATCCACCCATTTTGGCTCGACCTATCATCAACGAAAATACGTTTTTGGTGGCAGGTATGGACCATGAAAAGTTGTCAAAGTCCACCGCAAGGATCTACTGAAAAATCATTAATTTTGAAAATGCGAAGAATAGTATTTATCAATCGCGGAAAATGTAAGGATTTTTCATACAAAAAATATGAAAATTCGAGATTCTCGTGATGAACTTAGAGAGAGAGCCTTGAGGGTATGCAATTTTTATCTTGATTTATCTCATCACGAAATTTCAGTTAGATTCTAAGTATGTATATTAGTTCATTTGTCTAGAATTCACACGTCAGAATTTGATATGCGTTTTTGGTAAAGAAAAAGTGGGGGAAAAGGCAACCAAAAAGCAAGAATAATGCATGAAAGAGAGTTGAGTACTTTCTTTTTTTCTCTAAGTACTCCCTTGTTCTACCTCTCTTTCTCTCTCTTTATCCGGTGATGTTCTGCAATTAGCCAAGTCAAGATACCTGATTTACATTTGTGCAACTCGAGAATTCGTTTAATTCTACCTCAACTTGACGACACTGCGCGGCTATTCGCGCGATTAATTGCCGTTAGAGCGTCGCCAATGTGTTTTAATTTTAAGGCCCACCCCCACCCATATGTTGCCTGCTTTCTTATCCACTACAATTTATTTTTCACAAAGTACATCATACCTGTATGATCGGCATATTCGAGCGAGCAGGCAAGTCTTCCTTCCATGTCACCCATGTCGAACGTTGCTTCAGCCACGAAAATTATTCGGAAGCCCTCTATTAAGGTGATTAGAGAAATGAAAGGAGAGAGAAGCAAGTCTGAGAACGGATTGTAGCGTACTGCCGTATAGGGTTCAGGGTCTTCAGTCAAGGCCGAATTTCTAACTCAGTTCACAGTCGCTACACCTCTGTGTTTTGCATTGGTCGTGATTTTGTGGCAACAGTAACCACGTGCACCCTGATTTATTATGATGCAATTATAATTAAGTATTTGGGCCACAAAAGCTTAGGAGCACTTTATTGAAATCGGCCGTAAAAATCCATATTGACTATCGAAGGAACATATCTTTTAGCTGTTGCACTTTTATGGGAAATGAAACCCGAAAGAGCGAAATTCAAAAGGGCTTGAGGCGTGTAAGCGTAAGCGGCTCGGGGCACAATCGTCTTAAATAGACTAATATAATTTTGGAGAGCGTAATTTCTTTCATAATCTGAAAAACTAGTGTAAATTGTTTGCAAAGGTAGTTGAATCAGTAATTAAATATGCACAGGTCATGAGAATCCGACTGATTTTATATCTAAAGTTGAATATTTCATGTAATTTTTAATCTGTGGATGTAATAGTCATTAATTTTTTCTCGGTCAGGATTCCTCATTATTCTTTGTCAACAGACAAGGTGTAACTATAATTACTTTTGCAGTGAATAACATTCCGATAAAAGCCAATAGCTTGACTTGAAAACTGTGTGGCTGGGATCCTGAGACCCGTAAGAACACATGCATAGCAGGATCCATCCATGCCACTATGCAGAAAGTTTCTTCTGATCTAAATACGTCTATTCACTGTTAGTTAGTTAGTTTGTAACAGTAATTCTGTTTGATCATTACCACCCTTGCCATTTAAGACACTATCAAACTATCAGGTTTCTGTGTGGCGGCAATGGTCGCGCGTATATGAAAATGAGGTTTTGAAATTCCTGAAAAAATTCCTGAATGGCTTTTCTTCACAGAGCAACTTTTTCCATGCTTCTTTGACACATATTTCCTCTCTGCTTTTAACACCTAAAGTACACTCTGCAGCTTTGAACACCTGCTTGGCAGTCGTCTGTGGCAAAAAACCACGACAACCACGATAAACTTTATATCATACCTTATTTTTTCCCCTCTCTTTCCGTCGCAAGCTTGTATCCAACGGTCCGTCTTAAAAATGAAGAATTCAAGTGTAGAAGTATTCTTAGGCGGTATAAAAAGAGAAGCTTCAACATTCATAAATAATAAATCTGTTATTTGTTTCAAAATATGTATTTTATTTCTCTCATTTTTACTTTTTTCCACCTCGTGATCACCGATTTGTTTTAGATGCATGAGTCTCAATCCACTGGTTTTTTTCTCTGTTTCAGTTTAATTTCGTAGGACGGATATTAGGACCAAGAGGAATGACTGCAAAACAGTTGGAACTCGAAACAGGTTGTAAAATAATGGTCCGAGGCAAAGGCTCGATGCGAGATAAGAAAAAGGTAAGCTTTTCTCATTTCCTTGTCCTCTTTTCTCAAAAGAATATGAGGTAGCTTTTCAAACATGACAAACAAATTTTTACAGTCTCTTTTTTGAAAATTCTACATTTAACCACTATCTGGCTGCACTTTGCGCTTGCTTATCCATCAAACCATTGAACCTCATCAGTATGGCGTCAACAATCTATATTCTCATATTATCACACCCAATTCAAATCGATAAATTCCGTAAAAAAATAACATTTAATAAAAATATTACCGACGTCCTAACTCTTCCATACTTTTAATACAAAAGTAACACACCCTCACTAGGAGATCGAAATCATTATGTAGCTCCTGCGCACCAACTTATAAATAATCAACCTCCATTAGCACAAAATTGAAGTGATTTCATTCAAATTTTATTTCTGTTGGTGAAATTCGAGCTCTCCGACTTGACTTTGCAAGTGACGTGTGTTGGTGAAATTTTTTTCGTTAGTCTCTATTTGCGGCTAAATCAATGCCTCCTCTGTTAACTTGTATCATGTCACAAAGTTTAATTCAATTTTCGCGTTAGAAAGTGGCGAAAAAACTGTAACGTTGTTGTTTAGTCGCTCCGCTCTCATTCGTTCCCCTCCCTTCCTCCTCCCCCGTTCATTTCCACGCGAAAAACGGACGCGCGAGCAAATAATTGTCGCTGACGCCGAGTGCCAAAATATTTTTGTTATAAACCTAATTTTAAAAATTAAAAATAAATACTAGCTCGCGAAGGGAACGAGGGCTCTGACCCGGAAGTGGCCCGTCCCGAAAGACGGCCTAAATTTCCCTTCGGAGGCCCCGTCGACGCGCGACCCGCGACGAGCCCAGTTTGCGGTCGTCAAATAAAAGTATCTCGTTCGGAGCACAGCTCGGATTTAAATGTAATAATTCACCGGCCGAATAGCAGAAGGGAAGATGTCCTATAAAATTCAACGCACAGGCGTCATCTCAAATATGACTTGAGTGAACATGGCACAGGTCGAGCAGGGTCGCTTATTGCGGGGTGTCTGCAGGTCTAAAAAACCGGGTAGGAATCTCATCAGGTTTGGAAAGTAAGGGAACAGAAGAAAAATAATTCGATGAAGAGTTGCAGTTCTAGTACATGGAGAGATTGACACCTGAAGAAAAAAATCTCGTTTTTCCGTCATTTGCAGTGAATTTAATGCCGAAAATTGTTCATTTTCAGTTTTGAGAGTCAGCATAAAAAGCTAGGCATTTTGATTATTTTGGCCAAAGAAAATCCGGAAAATGTGGGAATAATTTTAAATCTAGGAGAGCACCGAAAGATTGAAAGTGGAACTCAACAATTTTTCATAGATTTAAATCTGGGCAACAAAAGTTTTTACGTGCGCATACACTTTCCGCGAAAAGAAAAAAACAAAACAAAACAAAACAGGAGACTGCAAAAATCGTGGAAAATGTTTGAATTATGTCAGTCAAGTGGAGGAGGTATCGAATTTTTCAAGTGTATGCAATTTTAAGAACTTTCAGGAGAACAGTAGCAGAAATGTTTTCAAAAATTGTACAAATGAGGTTAAAAGTATATTTAAGTATACTGGAGATAAAGTCAACTTTTAAAGTTTCACCCTCCAATTTCTACGAGCATCCAAAATTAACTTTTTCTTTATGGACAACCTCCTTATTTGTCAAAGGTGTTTTTATTTAGGAAAAAAAAGTGTAGATTTTTTTATTTTTTTGTCTTTATAAATACGCATTTGCTAATGGAGAGATTTTACATCTAATCGGTTGTTTCTCATATTCTTGTTTCCCTGGTAAAAATTGGCAGTAGAATGTGTGTTCCAAAATACTATGGACCTAAAGCCGGCTGTAAGATTTCCAATAGCTTCTGTAGCCGGCTGTACGATTTCTTATAGCCTTTTATTGCCGATGGCGAATAAGCAACAGTCAGACGATAAAGTTTATGCTAAACGTTACTAAATACGGATACTAGGACTTAGTTAGTTTTTGGACTACCGCTCTCTTTTTGTGCCGTAGTATCTTGATTTATTTTGCAAGGAAAGCTCTGTACATTTGGGAGGATGACTGTCATTCTTAATATGTTGGAGCGCCTTCAATTTCCTATGATACTGTGCAATACCTCTGGTGTGAAATAGTTGCTTCAGACGCCGTGGCACGCTGCGGCGCGGCGCACGGTGGATCGAGTCAATGGGAGGGGTCGGTCATCGCGCATCACGCGTTTTATTTTCTCTTATTACAGAGATTTCCCACCCTTCGAATAGAGCAAATTACACTTATCTGATGTATTTTTCGTCGTAGATTCCATTTTTGATCATTTTTCAGCCGAATAACCAGTTTTTATACGAGTTTGACACACTTTCTCATGACTTTTGAAAATGGAATCCTTGATAGCTGTTTTTTCACGTTACTTTCGGCGAATGGGACCGTAAGCATCTTATATAAATAATAATTTTGCCGAACTTGACTCAAGGACATTACTTGAGGAGTGAGGGAGGGCGGCTTTACAGCCCCCTCACCACGAAGGTTGCCATATTTCTTTCAATTTCTGCTAACATCGTTTTTTGGTCATGTTAATTGGTTTCTCGCAATTGCATACTGACACATACACGGAACATTCTGATAATGTTCATTTTTCTTCTCTTTTCCTCCAGCCAGTCAATAGACGTTTTCATTTTTATGAACTCTCTTCTCTTTCAGTTATTCTACAAATATGCATATTTCAAAAAATAGATCAATATATTAAATAAATAAAAAAAGAGATGTATATACTGTAGCTTCTTTTTATCGAGTCATCCTAGAAGATTATTGTAGGTACTTATCACCAGATATAAATAATTGAATGTGCAGGGAAAAAAAAAAAATTATATCATCTACCATTATTTTGTTTTGTTCCTCGAAGTTTGGAGTGAAGTTTGAAACATATTTATTGAATAAATATTAAAATAGGAGGAAATTTATTTTTCATGCAAGTTCTGATCCCTTGAAGAACCTCTGAGAAGGACCAATGTCTCTTGAAGAAATTTCTTGTATTTCTTCTTTTTCAACCCACAACCGATTTTTACTTTCTTGCTACCCTAGGGTAGAGAAAGTATTTTCATCCTCCTAGGGGCAAAAAAAATTTGAAATTTTATTTGTATGGAACTCATGAAAAAGTTCTAGGTATGTTGAAGACATTTTGCAAGAAACGGGACGTGTGAAATATACAATGCGCAAAACATACACCTTAAACTTTATCGCACAGTATAACACTGATCGAATCAGCTTCAAAGACTAAAAGAAGGTTACTGTCTCGTCCAAAAATATCAACAAATCAGCCAAAATCAGTAATCAGTTGAAAAATTATCGAAATTGAAGGAAATCGTGTGATGCGCGATTTTATTGATGACATTAGAGCAAGATCGGATTCCCAGCAGGCGCGACTTCCTATCATTCAAATGGACCGTTTTCGCAGATTAGCGGATATTAGCGGCTAATTATTACATAATATCATTCCTGATAGTGTACAAGAGATAACCCAACAAAGGATTTTGCGGACACTTGTGGACATTTTTTTATCGAGCTATTTTAACATTTTTTTGGGCGTTTTTTTAAAGCAAGCTTTGGAGGTGGTTTTGGTCCTCCTAAAAATATGCCAATGCACATTAATGATATACCAAAATGTTCCTTAAAGGGAGGAGAATAAGCATGTTTACTTGAAATTTTGATTTGTTTGCCACAGAACTCATGCAAAAGCGAAATAAAACCTTGAGAATCAGACGGCAAATTTGATACCACCTGCAATGTCAGCTTTAGGCAACCCGCATGTCAAAGCGGAAGGGTTCAAAGATCCTAGAACCGTGGATACATTCATTTTGGAAGCTTAACTACTAGAAAACCAAGAAAAAATATTTAAAATCCGACTTTTTTTTCGTCGCCCATGACCGACCCCTACCATTGACTCGATCCACCGTGCGGCGGGCGGGCAGGGAGCTCGAAACGCGCATTGGCGCCTACAAACCTAACAGGGATACTTCACGCATTGCGCAATGCGTGAAGTATCCCTGTTAGGTTTGTAGGCGCCAGTGCGTCGCCGCTCCGCTTTGTGTTAGGCTCTTATATTTAGTCTCGCGGAGTCAGCGTTCTTCAACTCATGATATTGAAATGTTTGCACACTCTGTATGGACTATTCTCATTTTAATTGATTAAAAAAAAAAAAAAAAAAAAANAAAAAAAAAAAAAAAAAAAAAAAAAAAAAAAAAAAAAAAAATGTTTTAAGGAAAATATAATGTGTGTTCTGTAAATATTAAGGTAGTTCCGTATCAAACTTAATGATTTCCAAAGCACACGAATTTATACACAATTTCTTACAGCCTTTTATAGCCAATGGCGATAAAGGGTAAAGCCCGGCAATAGGAACTATAGCCCGACTGTATACTTTTTTATAGCTTCGTATAGCCCGGCAATATGATTCGCTCCGCTTTCTACAGCTAGCTATATGATTTTCAATAGCCTTCTTTAGTCGGCTATAAGAACACCTATGGTATTTTGAAACGCAGCTCCTATCGCCAATTTTTACCAGGGTTTGTAAGCAGCCCAAAAGTTGATAAGGCACCTCTATAAAATGAAAGAATTTATAGCCCGGCTATATGATTCGCTCCGCTTTCTACAGCCAGCTATATGATTTTCAATAGCCTTCTTTAGTCGGCTATAAGAACTCCTATGGTATTTTGAAACGCAGCTCCTATCGCCAATTTTTACCAGGGTTTGTAAGCAGCCCAAAAGTTGATAAGGCACTTCTATAAAATGAAAGAATTCTAATAATAGCAAACAAAGAGATTCCACCTGTTTGTCAAATCTGGTCAAGTTTTCATTGAGTCACCTCGGAGGTAGTATATTAGGCAGAAAAAATAAAAACAAAAATCTGCGTTATTTACTTTAAAACGCGGTTTCGCTCACGTGGTCCCCGGTACCCCTAGCGCCACGCACACTTGAACAGTGTGATGTTTAAATAGATGAAATCGCGCGAT